TAATTTTTGATCATTCAAATAATTGTAAGCTTTAGTTCAATTATTACAATAAACATGCTCTTGAACTTCTCTAGGTTTTTTATCATATTTATTACAGTAACTTTTTCCTATTTCCAAGTTTTTGCTCTCAGAAATTTCCATTTCATTCTTTTGATTGTCGAAGAACTGTAAATATGTATACTAAAAAAAAAGTAAATAAGTAACATTACAATGCAAGAACATCCGAAATAATATGTATTTACTTGTTTTATTGATTTAATTAATTGAAAATTAAATATTTTATTTATATAGTAATTATAAATACGAATAATTTAAACAAAGCATACAATGTTATCTGTGTTAAGAGACATAATATTTAGGATTTTAAAAATTATATTAATCACATTATCTGCGTCTAATTAATTATGTACAAATTACGAAATGCATTAATCTATAAAATGAAATATAGGATTAATATTTTTATTAATATTTAATTTATATAAATATTATATAATATTATTTTAGGAATAATATAAATTGAGGTTGCAATAAGTTAATAAAATCATGAAAAACAATATAAACATTAGATTCTATTAATCACAAATTAATATGCTTAAAAATAATATTTTAATCAAGAACAATGTATGTTAGTATTTAACGTGTTCTGTATATATGTCAGGATATTATATTGTAATTATCATGTCATAGACTTATATTATTAGTGTTTTTCTTCCAGTATCTAAGTAGGTATATGTAAAAATATAATTAGATTTCTTAGAAAAACATTTATATATATATTTTTGATATCCTCTGAATAATAAATATTTATCAAAAATTATATATATAATATTTGTATACTTTAATCATTCATATGCACTTCGACGTTTACAATTTCCATACAGTATCATTATAATTTAATGATTATACAAATAATATTCTATATTATTCATACGCTATAAGAGATATAAATTACTTTTTTTATACATAGATTATTTATTTTATAAATACTATTTTACATTAATTTTTTTAAGACTTATACAAATATAACTACAAATATGCCTGTTTCGCACGCACTAGAGGCAAACAAAAAAAGTATTCAATTTTTTCCAAAATTTTAGTTAATCTTTTATATTCTAAATTATATAATGTAAAAAAGATTCATTAAAAATATATTATTATGTACATATAATAAGCATTGTATCTTATATGTATATGTAAAAAAAATATATAATATATATTCACAATTAAAAAAAATTATATATGATATATTTTTATAATGTATTAAATGTAAGTTTCAAAATGTTATATTATAATATCTTATAATTTTATGTTCTAGAATAATTTAATTAATTTTTACATTATCGAATATGATCCTTGTATATGTTTTACTCTTAATAAAATGTGAAAATAATAATTATTAGTCTATTATTTTCTTAATAGGTTCATAATAATATATAATCATATATAATTATATACACTACTCAATTATCATAGTAATGCTATTTCACTTTCATAAATTATTGAATTTATAACAAATAAAAAATAACTTGTTTATTAAAAGCATTATATTGGAATTAATGAGTTCATAGTAACAGTGAGTATACTATCTTTATTTTTAGATTTATATTTCTATATATTAAGTAAAATAGGACATAAATATTAAAAAATATTATATTTATGTTACATTTTCATTATATTGAACAAATTATATATCATTATATTTATTACTATCAATTTTTCTATACATACTAGTAATTTATTAATTATTGCGATTTATTAAATATATTATTGTTATTTTGTATTATACATATTTATAATTATAATACATTTTTTAAGCATTTAAATTTCTTATTATAATATATAATAATAAAAGCAAGAATTTCATCCCTACATATTAAAATTACAGAATTTCCTCAATCTACTCGCTAGTAATTAAATATGTTTGACTATGACGCAATAATATATAACTCATAAGTGTAAAATTTTACAAAGGGATTTTTTATCTTTTAAAATCAGATTAATATATATGGTTTAAATCATTTTTATTATTTTTTATAGCATGAGTCTTTTTTTCCCTAGGTAAATATTAACAGGTACTATTTTTATTGATTTACAATGTATATATTCAGTGTAAAAAAATGTTTCAATATACCCTCTATATATATTCACACTTTGTATGAGTATGATAAATGCTCGTAATGAAGCCTAATAGTATAACATATTATTGTATATGATAAAAGCGTATAAATCATATAATACATTTATTTCTTTCGTAGTGTGAAAAATTATTAAGAGCGCATGTAAAACTCAAGTATAAAATAATATATTTTTTATTTTATATACAAGTAAATTCATTCCATAATAAATAAAAAATAATTCCTACATATTTGAAATTGAAATGCTCCTATGAAAAATAAAAACAGCCATATATATTTCTTAGATATAAATTTTTTTCTGAGTATATATATGAAATTATAGCTATTGAAGTATGTACCTATGTAATAAAAATATATTCTCTATTAAAACATTGTGGTATTTATATTTTTTTCATGTAAGAACATTTTTATTATATTTAATGAACAAACAAGAAACGTAAATTATTATATCATAAATAAATATATCGAAATAAAAAGTATAATATATTATGGTGATATTTTTTGATATATTCTGGTTGTAGTGAAAATATATTTCTGTAAAGCAGAAAACATATATATTGTATTATATTGTTCACTATTCGAGTACGTATTTAAGAGCTTGCTATATAACAAACAAATAAAATTACAATAAATATATTAATATTCAAATTAATATGAAACACAAGTTTAAATAAATATATAAAATAACATATGAAAATTAAAGTTAATTGTATAAAAAAAAAATGTTTATTTTTTCTTAACTATTTATTATTTACTATAAAATTTAGTAGCATAATGTAAGAAAATTTATCTATTTATAATTTTTTTACTTTTAATTATTTAGTACATTTATGATAAATTGTAGAAATTATTTTTATAAATCTTCTTATGTTTTTATTTTTGATTAATTTTTCATTTATAAAATATTATTGAATCATTTTAACATTTGTGTTGAATTTCTAGTTCGATATTATTTTGACTCATTTCATTTTTATTTTATTTTCGTATATGTCAAGGACTAGTTAAAGTGAGTATGCGTGTGAAAAATTAATTAAATACTTACAAATACAGAGTATTTATTATAATTCCTTAATAAAACTATTGTAAGTATATTCTACATATATATAATTTCATCTTTATGAACCTTATAAATAAAATCATATATTATATGTATTGTATATATGTATGACTCAAGCTATTTTTATAATATTAGTAACGAAAAGTATAACTTTCATTAAGTAAATATAACATTGTCTAGAATAAATTTCTTCTAAATAACATTTGAATTTAGTTTACTTTATTTTAAACATGTATGCACATGTGCTATCTCATTTGTGATGCTACACTAATGATTTTATCATTATATCAATGGTAAAATCTTGAATATTACTTTGAATTTTTGATAGAAATAGAACTGAAGAAATTGTTTATATTAATTATATTTTTGTTCATTATACTGGTATATGTGTTATTAAACAAATCATACAATTAGTGGTTTATTATTATTTTTTTAACAATGTTGTAAAAATATACATAACATAGATTAATGCACAAATTTATTTAAATTTTTCTTTGATTATTAAAAAATGATGTCATATGCTACATAAGGAACCCTTTATTATTTTTAGAAGGTTTTTAAAAATTTGAAAATATATATAAATAAAGATTTACCAAAATTAATGAATAGTATATTGTACTGGCTTTTTATCATATTAAATGATATATTTCATTGAAAATATTTACATAGTTTATTAATAAAAAATTATTATACTTTATATTTTCGATATTATTAAAAAGTTCATTTACCATAATAGTTTTTTATGTTCAGAAACATGTATGTTATTAAGCTGTAGTTATTTGTTAATTGGTTTAATATTATTCAATGTTTCGAAAAAATTATGTCATCATATAAAAATAAAATTTAAAAGGTTAATATAATTCTCTTCATGTCTGTAAGTGTTTTTAGGTAATATGATTTTTCATGTTTGATTAATTTGTTATAATTTTAACATAATTTATGTTATGCACTATTAAATTTCTCTTATGCTCCTTATATATCATAGTCTACAATATATAGCTACTGTACAACTTTATATAGTTGTGTAATAATCTTTGTTAAGTTGTGGATTTTTTATTTTTATAATTTTCCTTATTTATTAAAATAGATTTTGTCGTAAGTTTTCATACTCAAAATTTTTATTACCAATGTCTTTTTATGCCTTTTTCATATTTAGCGTATAGAGAATAAAAATTATTACAGAAATTTTTAAAGATTTATTCCTTCTATAATTATATTAGAAATACTATTTTTATAATAAGTATCCTTTTTATTTGGATTTTATTCTTAGTAAACTACAAATTAATTATTCTATATTTTTAAAAGTACTAAATGCATTGAAAATAATATACAATTCGTAATAACATAAACATTCAACGAGATTATAGCATAATTTAATTTTTAAGATTAAAAAGAAAATAATATTATTATTATATACAAAAAAAACGAGAAAATTTTTTATGCATTAATAGAAAATTAAAAAAAATTAATTACACCAAAATTAGTAATAATTTAAATGGTTTTGAAGCATACATGTACTAAAAAAAAAATTATGATATATAAAATTCTAAAAGAACTTCATTTTATACGTAAAAAAAAAAAATAA